ACAAGTCAACCATAAACTAAAATGGTATTAATTGTTAGCGAAAAAGCATCGGTGCCTCTAAAGAGTCGGTCAAAATGTATTGTCAGCTGATAGTGATGTTCACCACAAATATTATGGTGATTGTCATTCATTGTTTTACTTGTAAACCATCTGTGTTTGTGTTGAGATCGCATCACGAGTATTATTTCAATCATACTTTGCATTAATTATAGTTTGATATATATTTTTGTAAATAGTATATTTGTGTTTAGAAATTATTAATTAAAATTGTGTATTTTCTAATTATTAGCAGAGAAATAATCCTAATGTTTAGTCAAACAAAATGTTTTCCATAATGTTTGCAATGAAAAAAATATTTAAAAAATATGAAATTTGTCTAAAAATTTTCATTAGGATTTTGAGTACCTTCTAGTCATCCCTTAATGTTTTGATTAATAGATAATTTTAATTATTATTTTTATTTTTACTAGTTGAATCTAGAGTTACGGCATTAGAGATTATATTGTAAATAATTAGTTGTTTTAAATAAGAAATACAGATTGTCATATATATTTAATGAATGTCAATTGTTTGTTTTTAATTAACAATTAAATATTAAAATTTAATTAAAAATATAAAATTATACCATATTTGTAGAATTGTTCACAAACTTGCTTTTTGATTAATTTGATAAAAATCAATTTTTATATGTATTACATTAGACATTATACTGTATATTATAAAAATATTAATTATTATGAATAATGATTTGAAAAATTAAAATACTGTAAAAATAAATTACTTATGATAGAAATTTTGCTATAATTATTTTTAAAGCACACATAAATCATTGTTAACCCCTATTCTTATGAATGCATTCAAATAAATACCAGAATAATTGCTATCATTTCTTAAAATTTTCTCTTAATATTAATATATTTATGAAAAGATTTCTTCAACTTTAAGGTAATTGCGAGAAATTAATGAATACATTGTTACAGATATAACTAAAGCTGCTCAGAATATGTATTTATTAGATATCAAATATGTTATATAATATGTATTAAAAATGGCCAAATATTTACTTATATATTTACTAAAAAAGGGTCAAATATTTACTTAAATATTTATTTATAAATTGCTGTTCTTTAACGTCAAACTATTGTCGTTTAACACGTGGTATTTTATGATTATTATAGTGTATAAAAGCAAATAGCAGTAAATGAGAGGATGTTTTACATAATAATCACAACTTTTACAGGAAATTAAAGTTTCACACATTTTATGGGAGAGATTAGCATTAGTTTATAATTTTCTAGAATAGAAAAATCAAATTTACATTAATGTCATTTATATTATAAAAATGAAGTTTACATGATATAAAATAATCGTAATTTCAAACATAAAATTAATTGATTAAATAAAAATTTATTTCAACAAAAAAACAACAAAACATTAGATAAAACATTACATCTTATTAGAGTTTAATGATTAGACATTATCATAATTATTAGCAATATATTACATAATATTATTAATACCTTGATGAAATTTTGACAGTAATTATAATTAATATTTATTTTATTTTTACTTAAATAGTTAAAAGACTTAATAACCATAATTACATGCAATGAGAAGCGAATGAAACGACAAAAGTATATGCATTCCGTTGCGAACCAAAACTCATTGCCGGCGATCCGTAGGAAACAAATTCAGATTAGGTTTAATTTAAATACCGAACAAACCATTTGATTGACACCATTTGCTATGTATTTATGTCTATAAAACTTACATTCATGTTATGTATAATTTAATTTAAAATATTTAATACATAGGTGATATGTTTGTAATTGATTGATACTGTATATTTAATATTGATTGTAATGTTGGGATTGTTTATACGGTATAGATATTTATATGTTATTATCAATAATACTAGCTTAATATTTAATGTAATTTAAATTTAATTAATACCTGGATGTAATTATAAAAATAAAACTCATAACTATATTGTGATATGAATGTTATTTATAATGTTATAATACAAATGCCTTTATTGTTATATTATTTAAAGGTAGATAATCATGAATTTATAAATTAATCTGTGAATATCATATATTTATTTGTAAGACTTTATATTTAACATAAATAATGTTATTTTATGATAATCAATGAATTACATAATAAAACTTTAAAATAGGATTATTCATTATACTGTATAACAAATATTTGTTTACTAGTGATATGTTTGTAATTTCTATAAATTATTACAGATTAATAAAAATCATAAAACTTAATAATTGGTATTTATTAATATCTTTAATATAAAACTTTTTAGTAATGATTAAAAAATAATTAAGAAACCATCTTGGTAATTTTCATTCTTGGCAATTCTATAACTCATATTTCGACTAGACAAAATATTATTTATAGACAAGTTACAGTCTGCCCTCGATATAAGGGACTCGTTTGGGCAATTATATCATATTCGCCATATATCAAGGTCCCCTATTTTGAGGGCAGACTGTATTAAAATAATAATTACCTATATGTTATCAACATGTAATTATCGTATTAACAAATTAAGTATAATTACATTCTAGTATAAGACTTCTATGCCTACACTTTATTTATTTATATGCTTTCTATATATAATGTATTATATTTGGTTTAATGGCCTAATGGTTCAGTGATTGTTATATAAATCATTAATGTTATATCTGTAACAATGTATTCATTAATTTCTCGCAATTACCTTAAAGTCGAAGAAATCTTTTCATAAATATATTAATATTAAAAGAAAATGTTAAGAAATGATAGCAATTATTCTGGTATTTATTTGAATGCATTCATAAGAATAGGGGTTAACAATGATTTATGTGTGCTTTAAAAATAATTATACCAAAATTTCTATCATAAGTAATTTATTTTTACAGTATTTTAATTTTTCAAATCATTATTCATAATAATTAATATTTTTATAATATACAGTATGTTATATAATGTAATACATAAAATAATTGATTTTTATCAAATTAATCAAAAAGCATGTTTGTAAACAATTCTACGAATACGGTATAATTTTGTATTTTTAATTAAATTTTAATATTTAATTGTTAATTAAAAACAAACAATTGACATTCATTAAATATATATGACAATCTGTATTTCTTATTTAAAACAACTAATTATTTACAATATAATCTCTAATGTCGTAACTCTAGATTCAATAATTGATTATTAATTAAATGGAAAATTTAATAACTAGTAAAAATAAAAATAATAATTAAAATTATCTATTAATCAAAACATTAAGGGATGACTAGAAGGTACTCAAAATCCTAATGAAAATTTTTAGACAAATTTAACATTTTTTAAATATTTTTTTCATTGCAAACATTATGGAAAACATTTTGTTTGACTAAACATTAGGATTATTTCTCTGCTAATAATTAGAAAATACATAATTTTAATTAATAATTTCTAAACACAAATGTACTATTTACAAAAATATATACCAAACTATAATTAATGCAAAGTATGATTGAAATAATACTCGTGATGCGATCTCAACACAAACACAGATGGTTTACAAATAAAACAATGGATGACAATCACCATAATATTTGTGGTGAACATCACTATCAGCTGACAATACATTTTGACCGACTCTTTAGAGGCACCGATGCTTTTTCGCTAACAATTAATACCATTTTAGTTTATGGTTGACTTGTTTTCATGCAATTATTCGCAACTGTTTTCGTAATAATTATTGTCGTGTTTATGACATAAAACATCTCATTATAAAATTCAATATTTTAAATGAATACACGGGAAAAATATGTCATTTCATTCACCAGCAGTTTAGCAATACAGGCGCCGGTATATGACTGTCCTGTTTAGCACAAGTGGATGGGAAGGCAATGAAAATTAATATTAATTTTCAATAGTATTATATAAATACAATGACGAGTCAATAGTCATGTTTTTTCGTATATTGAAATAAACATGGATTGAAGGAAAAGTAGCTTAAAATATATGTTATTTATTGAAAGTGGAGTATTATTTCCAAGAAATGAAACTAATCATGAATTTAAGCCGTTTTATATTTAGCTTTTAGCAAAATTGATGCAAAATGTCATACTTTAAGCCCAGGAAGAGTAGTATTGCATAACCCCAGAGAACCTGTAGCTTATTGTAGCGCATAATAACTAGTGATGTTATTTTACACGTAATATTCATTTCAATCTTACGTTACATGTAATATTACGTAATTTACCGTCAGATTCCGTAAAATTCAATTTGTAATTAAATGATAAATATGTGAATATTAGTGTTTATTAGCTATTAGTTGACAATAAATTACATTCAAACACATGAAATATTAATTATAACTTTAAAATTGTTATCCCAGTCATAAAAATTTAATTTTGTCTCAATTAAAGCATTAGTTGGCAAAATAACACGTAAGAGTCTGTTGTAAGTTACATGTAAGATTCAAATTTTGCTGTAATTTACGTGTAATTTACTGTAAATTACGTCCGTAAGATATGTAAGTTACATTCGCGACAACACTAATAATAACACACTGTATTGTAATATCGCTGACATTTCTACAGTATGTTAAATATTTAGACAATTTGTTTAATAACATTATTTTATGAATATTTCAAAACTAAATGCACACAAAATGTATGATTAAATTTAGAAAATAAAGTTTTTTATAAGAATTATAGATTGTTAGCAAATCTTTTATGCATTATATAAGACTTCAAAATACATTTCATTTGTAAAGAATGTAAAGCTTTAGAGAATATGATAGAAATGTAATACTTTCTCAACAATTACTATATTTGATGAAAAATTTCTATATAGATGTACTGTATTTCAAATCACGTATAGAATGATGTAAAACAATATATAAATGGCAAACAAAATACAATACAATACGAAACAAACATCATATTTGTATTAAGAAACTAATGCAAGCATTTGTTGTATTAAAGAGTCGGTCAACTGAATGCCAATAATGAGATCGTTGTTTAATACTACACGTACGGACACAACTGATATAAATATACACACGTTATCATTATATGCTTACATTTCTGCTAAATTTAAAAATAGTTTTCTTAATCATGAAATTACGGGAAAAAACTATAAACTAATTGTTATGAGATATAAAAGTATTGACAATTCATTTACTACAACACCCAAAACGTTTGGGTTTCTCTTCGGACAGTTTGAGGACACTTTGGATGAGATTGTCTTCGTTTTGGGTCATAATTTTGATCAATTCAGCGATCGATGTCATTATGTTTTGGCCATCTTTACAACTGGTCTCCACAAACATAAGGCCGTACTGTTGGGCTATCTTATAGCCGTCCTCCGCGCGCACGTACTTCATGTCCTGCGCCATCAATGTTGACCGCAAATCCGTTTTGTTGCCCACAATCATTACCGGAACCCCTTTGGTCTTCGCCTCCTATTTATAATTTAGTTAATTATTAAAAATTAAGATAAAAATTACGCGTAAAAAACATATAAAGTAGACAACAAAAGCCATACCTCGATAGTGGAGATCCATTCGCGGACATTGAGAAACGATTGTTCATTTGTCACGTCATATAAAAGCATAATTCCGTCCGCTTTTCGGAAATAGTTTTTCGTAATACTTCTGTACCGCTCCTGACCGGCGGTGTCCCACAACTGGAGCGCTATATTCATGCCATCGAAGTTACACGTTCTCATCTGTAGGCATCACAACAACAATCATGGGTTACGTACGAGAAAAGGGGGTCTCAAATGTTAGACACCCGGGAGTGCTAGTCGGGAGGCATTACCTGAAAGTCGACGCCTAAAGTTGTGCTTAAATTAGTGGCGAAATAGCCTTTGGATAGCCTCAGAATGAATGTCGATTTGCCGACAGAGGCGTCGCCAATGAATATGATTTTGTAGGTGCGTTCGGGAGCGCCGGTGGCGTCGCTTATGATGTCAACGGCCGCCGCACCGGAGGGCTCGACCGATATGGACGAGTCGTCGATCGGCGAAGACGTGCGCCGATAGAAGTGCATGAGAACCGGCGACGACTGATGCGATCGGGTCCTCATCGACGACAACCCGCTGTCCATCTCATCGCCCGTCAGCTGAACGCTCTTCAGGCCACTCATCGGCGGACACGACGCGAACGATTGCCGCTGCGATTGATAGTCCTCTTCATATACTGATATGGACTCCATGTCTGTCTCGGATAGTCTTAATAACCGCAGAGTAATCATAAGTATAACCGAAATATTTTTAACTTATTATGTTTTCTAATAGGATTTTGAGGTGAAAACAAATTAAATACCGGCTAAATGTCTGCCGATTATTCATAGTGTCCTTAAAGCCGTCGTTTTGTAGATAATCGCCGACAAGTGATCCGCGTTTGAATCCTGGGAGTTGTCCATCGGTGCCGTCGGGCGTATGGTTTCTGGAGTGCGTTGGCGTCAACTCCAGTACTGACCGCAGATTGTCGTTCGTGTCGTGAAGTCTCTTATTAGCGTCTCTATTGGCGTCAATCATATGTATAATCAGTAAATAAACATACATTTTGTCATTTCTGTGTGTCTTTAGCGATAAATATCATATAAATATAGCAAACAAATAGTTATTTTTTAGTTTTTTGGGTACTATTTGGCTAATTATCTATATATTCACAAAACAATAGATATGTTTAATATGTAATAACTTACTGAAGAAGGGAGAGCTGTCGTGTCAGGTGCTGCTGCTCTGACTGCTGTTCGGACATCCGGCCGACTTCGTGGGTCAGTTCGCGACACTTGTGGTCGTATTGGTTGCGGAGTTGTGCCAACTCTGTCCTCATGAGCGCCACATTGGTCTGTGTGTCCATCAATGAGAGCCGCAATTGTCTCGACTCTGTCATCGATTCGTCGAGTTTGGAGCGGATTTCGTTCACTTTCTCGTCAGTCATATCGTTGTTATTAGTCTTAAGCCACGAATCGATCTAAACGTATGTGTGTTTAACCAACTCATTGTCATTTTATAGATATATATTAAATACACAATTAAATTATTAGCAAAAAGTTTGGGTACACGAGAGAGAGAGAGAGAGAATACTGTTAAATAATTTTATACAAAACAATTTGCGATAACTTACATGTAATAGCATTTGAAAACACATTATTTTATTTACGTTTTTTAAACAAAAATATGTGTTATAAAGAGTCAATCATTATTTTAACACAAAAAACAACATTTTATCATTCATTTCGTGGTGAAAATAGTCATACATTATGTGGTATTCAATCAAAATCTAATCCTAAATATGTGTTAATGAATACATTAGCAGTGTTTTAACAATAGTTTTACATAAAATAGTGAACCGATAATTAAAATAATAATTGCTTTAAAATAAAAAACAATGTCTTTTCTAAGCCTATCCGAGCAGTACATCTCGGAGCCGATCCAAGACTCGCAACTCAACCCAATGTCTGTCATTCAGGAGCTGTTGGAAAGTGTGCGCGAATTACAGGAAGAGAATCAACGACTGGCCAACTCTTGGATGAGGTCGTCATCAAAGTTACCACACATTTGACCATAAATACCATGATTTATAATATGAACGACAATTGTGTGTTGAATAGGGAGAAGAAGGAACACGAGAAGCATTTGGTTGAGTTGGAGCACGAGGTGGACAGTCAGGTGAAGGAAGTGGAGACACGGGTTAAGCAGAAGGCCATGAAAGAGGTCGAGGCAGAGAAGAAGTCGATGAGGGATCTGATGAAGGGTGAGATGGAGGAACTGCAGTCGCATTTGTCCAAGTTTGAAAAGGTATGGTTAATATTTATGCATCAACTTATCAGCATCTCTCTCTCTCTCTCTCTCTCTCTCTCTCTCATTTTTGTGTAAATTTATATTTCCGTCGAGAGGTTAATGTTAATGTCATTTAAATAAATGATAAATTTTCAACTTAAAACTTTTAAAAAATAATATATTCACAGTCTGTGAATCACAGAAATATTTGTTAAAAATATTTAAAAAATCTATTTATAAAAAGCAATTTTAAAGTAAAAATCCAAACTATATATTATTACAAAAATATTATTTAAATTTTAGATACAGAATGTAAAATAGGTTTATCTATGTGTAAAATAATATCTATTATAAATTAAATTATACTGTAGTACTGTATAAGGTTTGGATTAACATAACAAATAATACAAAACTATATCGTGAATTACATTGATTTACTTACAAACATCATAAATATTGCGAAAAGATAACGGTGACAAACATGATAAAAACTGAGACAAGTATTGCCATGTGTAAATAATATAAAACAAATAACTGTTCAGCGATGAATCACACAGGGCATAAATAAATTATAAATTCACATATGGTAGTTTTTAATTTTTCAATTATTATTCTGTATTTATTATATTATAATAATGTTTATTTAGTATTCTATCAGACAATGTAATACAATGTAATATTTTAAAGTAAATTCACATTTTCCAATAATAATCAACTAATTTACTTTTAAATGAAATATAAGTCTGTATTTTGTTACATAAGACATATTGAATGGACTGATATATTGTGGTTTTAGTTGGAGATGAAGGTAAACTTCACAATAATGGTTGGCCAATGATCCGGCATATATTATTTAAAATTAGTTGCCCTGTCATGGACTGGGGGTCCCTTCCCTATCATTTCACCAAAGATGTGCAAAACATAAATTCAATGGAAATATTGTCATTCACTTCTTGTCTTACATAAGATATTATTGGAAAATAAATATAATATAAATGCAAACATATTCTTAAGGATACTGTAATGACAGGACTTTTAGTTTTTTAAATTACCATTTTTAGCAAATCATTTACATTTAGTTTATATTTTCGACATAATTTTAAAATACATTATCAGTTTAAGTAATTAATATTTAAAAATATAAAATCACCACAAAATTAAAGCATATTTTAAAAAGATAGAAATAAACAATTGATTTACCGGTTTGTCAATTGGTTGGCATCTGTTTGGATGAGCTTCTTCTTCGTCTTGTATTCATTTGTGGCAAACGTTTGGCTAATATTCTCGGTTT